GAGTGGTTTTGGACGGAGCTGTGGGCTCAGTGGAGCGTTAGTGACTGCCCCAAGTGTGAAGTGAGGAGGGATTAGGAGAAGCCACACGGATTTGGTAAGACTCCGAGCGAGGATCTTAAGGAAAGTTAGGTGGATGGTACCGGAAACGGGGGCGGGGGGACTGTCCTTGTGTAGATGCAGCAAGTTTAGCAACACTGTTGCTATAGTTCTGTGCAAAGCAGGAAACGTACCAGATCATTTGGGTAATCTAGCTAAGAAGATTTCCAACTATTGTTCTTAAAACATGATGTGATTTCTTCTTGCTGCTTATAGTAAAATATAAGAGGAGAGAGAGAAACTAGAGGTGGATTATTAAACAAAAATATCTAGGACTTGTTTTGAAAATGCTATCTTGCCTGGTACCAAACAGCAGTAGAAAGCGAAAATGATTTCTGAGCAAATGGAAATCTGTGACACCGCCAGACAAATGTACTTTAGCAACAAAGCCCACTGTGAACAAAAATCTTTTTTTAGACCTCAGAAAAATTCAGTTAGGCAAAATATGCTCTAAGGAGATGAAGGTTGTGTCTTATAGATCCTCCCAATAACAGAGCATCCCTGCCCTCTTTTTTGAAAAGGAGGTGTGGCTCAGAAGGCAGAATCAGTCGTCCAGAAGGCAGAGCTGGAGCCTTGCAGAGTTATTCTCAGGCTTAATCAAAGAGCTTGCAGAATTCCTATATCCTTGTGTCTCCTGTGTCCCCCCTTTTTGCACAGGAAGCTCTGTATCAGTTTTCCCTTGCCTGTCCCAGCATACTGAGTGCAGAGAGGGTAGACAATTCTTTTCCAGTTTTATAGGCAGGAAGAATTAGACTTGGGAGCTGTCTTTAAAGAACTACACCTGAGCAGCCTCGTTCATCTCTGGACCTGACACACATGATGAGATTCTGGACTTTGAGCTCTTGCTGTAATGAGGTGAGACTTTTAGGTACTGTAGGAGGAGTGAGGTTAGAGATGAAACCAACTATGAATTTATTGTGTTTTAGTACCAAATCTGCCTTCCATTTCTTGATCTTCATTTTAGGTTCTCTGATGCTTCCTTGTGGTCAGTTTCAGGTTATGAATTCCTCTTGGTAGGTTCTACGTAGGGGTCCTCACATTATCATGGCTAAAAGCACATGGTGTCCTCTGCCCCTTGGCAGTGATAAATTTGTGTCACTGGTTAAGGTACTGTCCAGCTTTTCCACTGTGTATTAGTTTCCTTTGGCTACTGTAACAAATTACCACAACCTTGGTGGCTTAAAACAAAAATGGTAAGAAACTCAATTTCCTTACCTTTCTGGAGGCCAGAAGTCAGAAATCAGCCTCACCGGGCTGACGTCCGGCTGTTGGCAGAGCCGTGCCCTTTTTGAGGCATGGGGGAGAATCTTGCATCTCAAATTCTGGTGGCTTCCCTCAATTCTTGGCTTGTGGTAGCATCACTCCAGCCTTCAAGGCTCTCCTCTTCAGATATCCTCTGCTCTGTCTGCATGTTGCTCTCCCTATGTAGTAGGATGTGTGTGATGGCATTCAGTGCCTGCCATGGTCATCCAGGATAACCCCCCATCCAAACTCCATCATATCTTCAAAGACTCTTGTTCCAGATAAACAAGTTCCAGGGATTGGAATCTGATAGCTTTGGTGAGGCATTTTTCAGACTACCACATTCTCTTACTGTATGAATATGTGTGTATGTGTGTGTGTGTGTGTGTGTGTGTGTGTGGTGTGTGTGTGGACATATGCACGTGCGTGTTTACCTTTCTTGTAGCTAGCTGGTAAGTAACCTCTGGGGAGAAACTTGCAAGACAGGAAAATGCCTTGCTTTTCTACAAAATTCCCCCACATTTAGAGTCTGTTGACAATACTTCTATGAAACAGTGTGTACGTGAGGGTTGCAGTAGTGATTTTCCAGTTCCCAGCCCCCTTCCAGACTTATCATGAACCCTGCTTCTCCCTTTATCTCTGTCTGTGTAGCTCTGACCTTTATGTCTGTGTATCTGTCTGATCATCTAGGGTCGGCGTGTATCGGTGCATATGTGCATTTGCATCTGTTTGTCAGCATCCTTGAATCTGTCCATCTGCCCCTTAATGATTGGAACTCATAAGCCCATTTTTTTTCACTAGTTTAGAATTCATTCATTTTGATGCTCAATTTGTCCCATCTCTGACTTACTTTTTAAAGCTGGCGTCTGTCTCCTTGTAACTTGAGCCTATATTTTTTCTTTTTTGTTTTAGTACTTTCTGTTTTTAGATATAACAAAATGTTCAGTGCTCATCTTGAATTTGTTCTCCTGCCCCCTCACAATCTTCTATTTCTTTAAGGAGCCCACTGGCTTTTTGTGGGGAGTGAGGTTAGAGACAGTAGCTGTTACCGATTTACTTTTTTAGAGCCAGATCTTCCCTCTATTGCTTGCTGGCCCTCCTCTCCCAGCTGGCAAGAGTGAGATTAGTGAGTAGAGGGAGATGGAGGTGCAGTGAGGAAGTCGGGTTTGGACGGCTGCCCTTGGGGTGTGGGGGATGCTGGTGGTGCTCATCTCTATCAAGCTTTGGGGTTCATGCCTGTGGCTCGCTGTCTTCCAGCCTGGGCCTGCAGGCACCACAGCAGAGTTGCTGCTTGCCAGTCTCAGTCTGGGGTTCCTGTCCCCGGACTTCAGCCTTCTGTAGAACAGCTGTGGCTGGGGTACCCAGCCAACTTCTCTCATCCTGCGGGCTGCAGCCACCCCATCTCCAATGAGAGCTGCGTTCTAGCCTTGGGGAGGAGGCGCTTCCTCCATGCACTTTCCTGCTTCCTCCACACCCCAGGCTCCTTAGGTTCTTTTTGTTCCCGCTTAACAGTTAATCCTGTGTAATAGTTAATACCTCTTCACAAGTTGTTCCCTATTCATACTGCTGTGTGGATCCTACTTTCTGGCTGATGCTGTACTACTTATCAGAACACACTCTATGAGCTGTACTGTACTAGCTCCTCTCCTCAGGAATAGGGGTTTATGATTCGTTCTTTTGTGCGCTGTTAACCTTTGATTCCTTGCTTTTGGCCTTTGTGCTCAGAGTTGAGGTGCTTCGGAGGCCTGTTCCCTTCTGTTCACAGTTACTGTCCTTTGTGTTTTTCTGTGTCGTTCCTCCTTAGAGTTGTAGTTACTCTTTGCTAGGGCAGCTACTGACCACCTTTGTGACACTGCTCTGTCCAGCAAGCATGGTTACATGCCAAAAACCTGTCATTAAATGTGTCACCTTTGATGAGTTTAAGTCTAGCTGTTAAATATATAGAATTTGTATAAGGCATTTAATTCAAGAAATGTTTAAAAATCTGGCACTGGGGATTTGATGACTTAAACAGCCCATGTTCTTCAGGAAACTTTGAGTTTGTAGTTGAAGAAGTGAGCGTCAGGGTCCAGCGTTGACAAAGGGATATGCTCTAGGATGTGGTGCCCTCACTGTCAAGTTTTTGTTATTGTTGTTTCAGTGCTGGAATTAAACCCAGAACCTCATGCATGCTATGCAGGAACTTACCACTCAGCTGCACCCCGGCTCCACTGTCAGGTTTTTTAAGACTTGTGGCATTCCTAATTATGCAGGGGTAGATAATTTCGAGAAGTCACCAGTTTGAGGGGTTAAAATCATGCCTGTGAATCTACACTCTAAAACAGTGTTAAAAAAAAAAAGAGAATCCTCCCCCATGCTATATTTAAGTTTTTCTCTGCCTTCCTCTCTGGTTCTTTGACAAGCTGTGAGAGTTAGACACTGCTTCAGTCCGTGTATCTTCAGCATGTAAAACCATACCTGACACGTAATGCTTAAAATGTAAGTTGAGCAGGCCAGGTGCGGCAGTGCGCGCTTGTAATCCCAGCACTCTGGGAGACTGAGGCAGAAGAATTGCAAGTTTGAGTCTAGCCGTGGTAACTTAGGGACTTAGCAAGACTGTCTCAAAAAGTTTTTAAAAAGAGGGATGATGCTGGGATGTAGATCAGTGCAGAGGCCCTGGGTTCAATCTCTAGGACTAGGAAAAAAACCAAAAGATAAAAACAACAAAATGAATGAATGAGTTAAGATTTAAGTGATGGAGTAATTATAGATGATCATATCACTGAAAGATAATTCTAAGGTCAACATTAAAATGATTATACCTAGTATGGGGAAATAGATATACTACAAGAAGAGAGAGATCTTCAACAACAAAAAGAGACAGAAGAAGTGAAGAGTCATTTGAAATATTTGTTTTCCTAGCAATTCTGTTTTTAGTGAATTTTTTTATATAGTACATCTTATGTTTATATAGGAGAAATATATCAATGAATATTAGATATTTTAGTCCCAGAAATCCTTTTTTTTCTTAAAATTATTGAAGACTTCAGAGAACTTGTGCTTATGGGGGTTATAGCTATTAATAACTACCATACTAGAAATTTAAAAAGTTATTATATTACATTGAAAATAAGAAATATACTGTTATCATAAAATAACATTTTTACAAAAAATGACTTCTAAATCAAAAAGGAAATAGAAGAGTAGTGCTCCTGTATATATTAATGGCTGACTTAGAACAAGATAGTGGTGTGCACTGGAGCCCAGCTCCTTGGGCAGCTGCAGGAATACAGCTTGGGCCGGGGAGTTTGGGGCCAGCCCTCAAGCATCAGTCACCTGAAAAAGGGTGGTTCCCTGAGTTATGCAGATGTTGTCTCAAAAATGTTTGTACTGTGACAGATCTGGAACGGAAAAAGTAAAGTATTGGAAACTATCAAGCTCCTAAGTAGCTGTACGGCTGAATTTTATTGCTGACAATAAATCCTTGGTTTTTTTCCTTGAAGTATTAAGCTCACTTTTTTTTTTTTTTTAGAAAATAACTGCCAAATATTCAGATATGAATAAGGATAGTTTGTTTTATATAATTTCAAAAAGAAGTGTTCTCAGGGGTTGATATTAATGCATTTAGTACTTTTTACTGCTTCATCAAGGACATATTTTTTGTTGTTTTTTTTTTGAGACAGGGTTTCGCTATGTAGTTCAGGCTGACCTTGAACTCACTATGTAGCTCAGGCTGGCCTCGAACTTTTGGTGATCCTCCTGCCTCAGCCTCCTGAGTGCTTGGATTACAGCATCAAGGACATTCTTAAGTGAATCAGGTATTAATTTTTTTTATATGAATGATTGTTAGTAAAAGATTTAATGATTACTAGCAAGTATAGTTTGGTGCTATTACTCTGATTCCTGCTAAGAGGTTAGCAGTTTTGCTGCCATTGTTTTTACACCATCAGTGGAGATGTCACTGCACTAAAAAATGCAGCTGCTGCCTTAGTATTATTATGAGAATGGTTTTGACCTTTGTCTTTGTCACTTTCCTCATAGCTGGGACAAAATACCCAACATCCACAATTTACAAGGAGGAGAGATATATTTTGGCTCACGGTTCAGAAGTTTCAGTCCTTGTAGAGTTGGTGGCCTGGTGGAAAGGCCCAAGTGAAGAAATGGGGTGCATGTCATGGAGGGCAAGAAGCAGAGAGCAAAGTGAGGAACCTAGGAGGGAGATGAACCCTTCCAGGTCCCTGGGGACCTGGCCAGGCTCCACTTCTTAACAGCAAGCCAGCTGTGGCACCGAATGATCCAGTCCCCTCCCAGAGCCCTGCCTCTGAGCTCGTGAGTCTTTTGGGGGACATCTAGATCTGAACCATGACAACTTTATTAATTTCTTGAAAGGACCCCTGGGGACACCCGATAATCTCTGGGCCACACTTTGAGAATGCACATACACGTATACACACACGCCACACACCTCATATGTGCATGCACATACACATGGGTGTTTCATCAGTAGAAGAAGTCTCAATCTGAATTTTTTTGATATGTGGCTATATAGATGTGCCACAATTTAGCCATTAATAGAATTCTCCAGCTATTTGAGATAACACTGGAAAGATGACCAAGATATTTTTTTAAGTTAAAGAAAACAAATGTTGTACAGCACAATGTTTAGTAAGATCCCATTTATGTGTAAGTAAACAAACATGTTTGTGCAAAGACACACCTGCACACATTTGTATAGAGTATGTAACTTGGGGGAGTAGGAGGAGTGATATTTTAAATGTTTGCCTTGTACTTTCTAAACTGAAATGATGTAATGTGTATGGTTAACGTTAATATTGGAAGATACCCAGGCTGGGGATTTAGCTCAGTGGTTCCACCGCCTCGAAAGCGCAAGGTCCCGAGTTCGATCCTGGTACCAAAGGAAAAAAAAAAAGTGGTCAATATTAGAAGATACCCAGCTTGGCTTCTTAAACAATAAGCTTGTCACTGGGTGAAAGGGCGTGGCTTCTGAATTGGTGTAAGTTCTTAGCTTTTGTTGTCTGTTGCTAATGTATTATCTTCAGTTTATCTCCACATGTTTCTGTTTCACAAATTGAAAGTTTCTTATTAATCTTAGTAGCTAAGTAATTTATCTCTCTCAATAAACTGTACAGTTCATTTGTAATACTTGAGAGCTGTAGTGAACCCTGCAGGCAGCAGCTGTGGTAGTGTGGAGGGAAATACTGGTTAATCATCCATCTTTTTAGCTCCTCTCACGTTTTTAGTAAGTAAACCTCAGCAATAGAGAAGTCTTGTTGTAATTACAGAACCATCGGAGATCTGTTACTGTTCTCGTGCTCCGACATATAGTACTTTTTGTGCTCAGATAAATTTAGACCCAGATCTTCTGTCTACTAATCACTAGCAATGTGATCTTATACAAATGAACCTCTGAGTCTCATTTCTTACTAGTAGAAGAAAGCTAATACCTTTCCCTTCTGATGCTGATGTCTGCAGTGTGTCTGGCTCCTGTTGATGATGCTGGCTGGGACTCACTATTGTGTGTTGCTCAGTTTCCTCTCCCTTAGTATGCACATCCTCTTTTGTCTCTCTTTAGTTTTGTGCTGCTCCACAGTGAAGTTTCTGGTTAGCCTTTTGGACTTCTAGATGTTTCCTCTTCTAGCAAGCTCTCCATGTTTCCTCTAGACCAAGTTACTCTCCCCTGCTCAGTTATACAGCTCATCAGTGTACTGTTTAGCTCATTTTATTTTTCCTTACTTTTTTTAATTTGCAAAATTTTCAAATTTACAGTAAAGAACCTAAAAGAGTATTACAGCAAACACCTGCTTACCTCTTCTCCAAGTTCACTGTTAATGTTTGCCCCTTTTGTCTTTCTCTGTGTCTCCCTCGTTTTTTCCCCTGAATTACTTCAGAAGTTGTAGATACTGTGACATTTCACCTCCACGTCCCGTGTTTTCCATGTGACCACCATACCCATCCCACCCATGAAATTTAACATCGATACAGTAATACAAAATAGGCAGTCCATATTCATGTTTTCCACTTGTCCTACAGATGTCCTTTTTAGCTTTTGTTTCATTTCCTTGAGACTTGCTTATATCCCAGGCTGGCCTTGAACTTGTGCTTCTTCTGTCTCAGCTTCCTAGGTGCTGAGTATTGAGTGAATGTGCATGTGTCATTGCACCTGGCTGCTTTTTGTGTGTGGGGGTGTCTGTCATAGTACTGATGTTTTTAAAGAGTTAGGAGAGTTGAGTTCTTTCTCTCTTTCTCTCCTCCTTCCCCTTCCCCTCCTCTCTCTTTCTCTCTCTCTCTCTCTTTCTCTCTCTTTCTTTCGTCTGGCAATCAAACTCAGGCCTTATGCAAGTTAGGCAAGTGTTCTTTCACAAGCTTGGCATCCAGCCCCATAGACACTGACATTTTTAAGGAATGTAGAACAGTTGTTCTGTAAAAGGTTCTACAATTTGAATCCATCTGATTTTCTCACCATTAGATAATTGTTTTTAGTTGTTTTATTATATCAGTTATCAGACGGATTTTCTGTGAGAAAAAGACCAGAAGCTCCTGACAGCTAAGTGAGGACCTGAAACACCAGTTCAGCCTGATTCTTAGAGCTGGGTCCGGCCTTCATATCTGCACTGTGTTACTCTCCTGTTGAACATAGACTGCTTCACAGAACGTGAAAGTCTGATGAAGTCACTTCAGGCCTTTGGATCAAGAAGAAACAAGACCACCCTGCAGTCCTATCTGAACATAAAAAACATGAATATTATTCAAGTCCCCAAAATGATCAAACCTACCCTTGTCCTGCCTGCCATGAGGGCCTGCTGCCTCTTTATAATGACAGTTTTAGCCTCACTTCGTTCTTCCTGCATCATAGCGAGTGAGATTCTTTAAGAATCATAGACTCATAGAGTTACATAGATTTCATAGAAACAGAATTACCTTCACTTCCTGACAGCGTCTAGTCTAGGATAGAATTTTGTTCCCTTGAAGTTGTCCCCAAAGTACCTAACATAAGCCCCAGTCATGTAAGTCCTTTCTAATACCCTCTTGATGCAACACTTTTGGCTTCTCGGTGCTGAGCATTTTCTCTTGCAGGAAGCAGGAAGTCTCTCTTCTTTGACTAGAGGCGTGTTCCTGGTGCTGTTTGCCTTGAGGGAATTCACACCTGAGAATCTTGGCCTCTTGTTTTCTTTTTCCTTTGTGAATGAATTTTGGATGTAGTCAAGAATCATCAGGATCAAGCATTTGAGGTGGCTTCATGTTGGTCAAGGATAAGTTTTAGTTCCACAAAACTAGTTTTTTTTTTTTTTGGTAACTGGGGATCGAACTTGGGTCCTTGTGGTTTCGAGGCAGGTGCCAGAACCACTGAGCTAGATCCCCAGCCTGAAACTAGTTGTTTTTAAATCATTGACATTTGAATTTTTAAGTTGTATGTAGGAGTTGTTCCAAATAATTATAAATAAAACTCAGAGGAAATACCAAAGGCAATTTATAGATCAGAGACAGAGGCTTTATATCCAGGGATTAGCCAGCTTAGTTAGAATGTTTGAATTTAATTTTTCCTCTCACAGCTTTTAATATATTAACCATTGTGGGGTTTTGGAGTGGGGGAATGACTTGCACCTATTACGCACACACATAGTATACATGATACATGATACTGTGCAGTAACCTTCCTAGGAAGAATTTGCTCTGTTTCCTGGCTCTGCCTATAATCTTTTGTACTTTGTTCATAGGAAAATAAACATTGGCTCTCTGAGCGGACATGGAAAGCAGCAGTGAGAAAAGCACCTGTTTGTGATTTCTCATGCTCTTGCTGCCTTTCAGGTGAAGTTTTGAAAAGAGATAAAGGAGGGCATTGTCTACGATTGCGATAATTGTGAATATTGCACTTTTTTAAGAGAATTAAAAAACCAGGTAGTGTCATTTTATATCTACATAAAGGCCAGTAGTTATTACATTAAAATTCATCTCTATCTCTTTGTTTATGCTAGTGATATTACTTTTTTCTGTTGTTCTGAAATCTTTTAAGAAAGTACAGTACAAAGAAGTACACATGTTCTTTCATCATGTTTGTTTTGATGATAGGATTCAATGTAATTGAACCTTTTAATGCATAAGCTATTAGTTTTTGTTGTATTCCACTTTGAAAAAAATCTTCTAATTCATTTCTGCTTGTCCAGGTTTAGTGGAATAGAAGTGCATAGATCAAAAAAAAAAAAGTGCATAGATCAGTAGAATTACAACAAAGACAAGCTTTTGACACATGTATTCCTTTGCTTAAGCATTTAGACTAGCTGATTGGAGAGATGAGATGAATCACATTAGGATTAAAGCCCCAAATTTTTATATATTTGTTTCAGACAAATAAATTTTTTTAGGGTGTTGTTAATTATTAAGAAGTGTTCCATTAAAATGTCTCTGCAAGTAGTTATTGTGTTTAAAGATAATGGGAGGTGGTCTTATGGATTGAAGTGTAAAAAAAAAGTTTGCATTTTTCTGGGTTTCTGTTCCAAGGTTATCGATGTTTACAGAATTACTGGTATTAATTCACAGGCACTGCAATTAACTATTTTTTTAAAAAAAACTATAATTAGATTGGACATAATCATAAACACAGGATCATACTTCTTTAGTCAACAGGAGGACTAGTGAGCATTTCACCTGTTTGGCTGGTAGATTTTCTCCAAGATTAAATAATTTAGATTGTTTTCAGGCCAGAGAATTTGCTCCACTTATTGGCATTCTTGGAAGTTTGTTTTCAGATAATATTAGATAGGTAGTATTAGTAAGCTAGTAGTGTCAATTTAAGTACGATATTGGAAGGATGGAGTTTAATTTAATGATTGCGTATGAGTTGGAAACTAATAGGAAAGCAGATTTAGTGTAATGGATTATACTAGGCTTGGTTTCTTGTGGCAGAACTTAAGACAAGATAGCAGTCAGTTGCTTTCCGTGACCAAAGGTCTGGAAGGAGCTCAGGATGGCAGCTTCAGGGTGGTCAGGAGTCACAGCTCCTGCTGTTGGCACTGCCCCTTTTTAACCATCCACTTCAGGTCCTCCCCAGAAGGAGGACGGGACAGTGGGGAGAGATCAGGGAGGATGTGTCTCAGCTGTTGTTTAAGGAGATTTCTGGGAAGCTACTCTTAAACTTTTGTCTGGATGCTATTGGCCCGAGCTTGGTCCATGTCCACACCTAACTCCAAGGCAGTCTAACAGTTGTCTTTTTTTCTGACTACCATGTATCCAGTTACAAATTGAGGATAATTTTGCTAAGGAGTAGAGTAAGAACAGGAATTTGGATAGCAGCTGGCAGCCTGTTCCATAATAAAAGCGGAGTCCTGGATGTTAGGGTTCCTCTATCTAACTGACTGCCATTTACCTGACAACCCTTAGTGGGCCTGGGCTCCTGGAGGATGTTAAAAAATGTTATAGACCCTATCTCTAGAAAAACGAACCTGTGCTTATGTGTGTGGAATTCTGTAGCATTGTTATCTCTGAAACCTATCCATGTATCATGGCCTAGGATTTAAGTATTTTGTTTTTTCAAATTCTTAAAGCTGTTTATTATAAAAATAAATTCATATTAATTTTATAAATTAATGGGTTTCACTATGACTTTGGCAAATGTGTATATTGTACTTTAATTATTTCTACCCTTCCTACTACCTTTCCTCTCTCTCTCTCTCTCTCTCTCTCTCTCTTTCTTCTTGTGCCAGAGATCAAACTCAGGACCTTGAGCTTGCCAGGCAGGTGCGGTGCCACTGAGCTGCATCCCCGGCCCTCGCCTTTCTACTTTTATGACAAGCCTCGGATTTTTTTGTTTTTTTGTTTTTGTTTTTTTTTCTACTGGGGATCGAACTTGGGTCCTTGCACTTGCCCACCAGGCGGTGAAACCACTGAGCTAAATGCCCGGCCCAAGCCTCAGATTTTTTTGTGGTCCCACTTTTAAGATTTCCCTTTAGAAAGTTTCATGGTGAGACAGGTGTTTGGAATTTTTTGTTATTTATTCTCATAGTCAACAAATGTTTGCTACCATGCTCCGTCTGGTAGGTGCTACGACAGCTCTTGGAGATTCAAGGTTACCATGATACTCTGCTAAGCACTGGCTGTGTGGCTGACATGGAACGAGGACCCTTAAGTACAATACTTATTTTCTCCATTTTACAGTGAGGAGACAGTCTGCCTGAGATTCTGTAGCTCGCGAGTGGTAGAGCTTGTGTTTGAACATGAACCTCACCCCAGTGCCTTTTTAAAGTTTGTTGAAATAAACACTGCCAGGGCCAGGAGGCACGTTGAGCAGAGGGAATTTTAGTTGTTCAGTTTCAAATTCTTGTCTTGGTTTATGTAATAGGAAGCTGTCTGTGCTTTAGAGTTTTGTTAATACTTTACAGAGCCACTTTAAGTGGCATTATAAACTTTTAAAATGTTTAAGTATGTGAGGATGCTACTACTTTTGCTTCTGTAGCTTTTAAATTTACATTGCAAACAGCACATGACAGATACTGACTGATGATCTTACCTGAGTTGTACAAAATGTTCATGTTTGCAAATGTCTTTATCAGCACTCAGATTCTGTATATCATTAAGAAGTTCTATGTGAACTGCCTTTCTGTCACCTTGCAGAGCAGAACTTGCTGGTGTTGTGTCCTCTTTCTGCTCACAATCTGTTGTCACAGTCACTGGCAGCGTCATATGCAGAAGTCGGCAAAAAAGCTGTTTGCTTCAAGCTGAGGTTTTTGCCCCACTTACAATACAGATGTTCTTATAATTTCCTCTCTTCAGCCACTTTATAAATCATAAAGAAGAGAAAAGGGAATATTATATGAGTAATTGCAACATTAAATTACTATAGCAAACCATTTGAGTTCTTTAAAATTATCTTTTCAGCTTCAGTTTCAAATCACTAGCTCCTCAGGCAGTAAGTGTGTTACAGATAGGCCCTAGATTATGAACACACTGTTTATTTATTAGTGGAACCTGTGCCTCTTGTTGCCCAGAAACATTATTTTTCTTTCTGATTCTAATTGTGATGGAGCCTAGGTATGACTTCCGAAGTTTGCATAATAAGCACAGCACATAGGAGTGGTCAGCCTATCTCTGGATGTAAACGTCATGAAGCAGCGCTTGGTCATTCTTTGTGTAAGTGTTGATTTGACTTTTAATTCCAGGGCGATTTGATGAAACCGTCATAGAAGAGAGAAGACAGTGTGCCGAAGACCTGCTGCAGTTCTCTGCCAACATTCCTGCTCTTTACAACAGTAAACAGCTTGAAGAGTTTTTCAAGGTTTGTCTGTCTTTCTGGAATGTTTTGTATCTTATTAAACACTTTTGTTTCTAATTTGTAGTAAATGCAAGTAGAAAACGTCATCATTCACTAAAAAAAAAAAAGAATTAGTAAAATAAATAAGCATGCCTGTGGCATATGTTCTGTTTTTTAGTGTGGAAGTGTATATAATTTTAATGCCTAGGTTTCAAAAAATTGATACAGCTTTAATTGCAACAGTCTGGGAGCTGAGGCTGGAGTATTGCAAGGTGGAGCACAGCCTGCACAACTTAGTGACTTAAAAACATTAAAAAAAAGGGGATAGGAGGGATTGGGATGGTGTCATTGTTGTTTCTTTTCTTTACCTGGAAATATGCCCATTTATATAAATTTAATTTCATAGACTTTATAAGCAGCAAGGTATATGAGTAGCGAGATACTTAATTTTCCTGATGCTAGTGGATCTACACAGAAATTTTTTTTTTTTCCCAAAGCAGGACTTTTATTAAGGGACAGAGCTGCCAGGCTGTCTTGAACAGTGGTGAGAGCAGCTGAAAATTAGTTTTTTATAACCTCATTTAGTTTACTAGAGAAAGCTGATCTTTTGAAAGGCATTGCAGATTTAGGACTTAAAGTAAAGAAAATAGAAGTTGTAATAGTAAGATTTGTAATGTTAATGTGATCCATTATTGTCTTAGTTCTTTTTCCTGTTGCTGAGACAAAATACTCAATACCCAGAGTTAAAGGAGGAAAGGTTTATTTAGCTTACAGTTTATAGAGTTTTAGTCTGTAGTTGGCTGGTTCCAAGGCAGGGTGGTAGAGGGGCATTGCAGAAGAGAAACAGCTCATGGCAGGCAGAAGGCAGCAAAGCAAGCAACAAGCCATAAGTGACAAGTGAGGACCACAGCCCTTTCTTTCCCTGATTTCCTACCCAGACCACCCCCACTTAGGGCAGACAGCACTCAACCCTTGATCCTAGCACCACACTGTGAATCAAACCCAGCATCATGTCCTTGATCCCACAGGACACACCCTAGATCCAGCCACCTCTGAAAAGCCCCGACTATGACTGCATAAGGCTTTAGGGAGACATCTAGACACAAGCTAGATACAAGCTATAGTTGACCTTATTGGTTTATTTTTCATTACTCAGCAAACTAGGCTAAGATAAATATAGCTGCTGCTTATGCCCAGTGGGGCTCGTCACGATCAAGGCTGAGACCGACACAGTATTAGCTCTTGCTCTTCTCTGTCACAGTGTTTCTATCTGGCAGGAAGTCTGTTCTTGGAGGAGAAGGCATTGCTATTAAGCAAGAGATTTGCTTTATGGAAATTGTGAAAGGCCAATTAACTCACATTATACAGCTAAGGAAACTAGTCTGGGGATGAATGAAAGGTAGACCATAGACTTACCTGTTCATTGTAGTATTTGTTTTGGATCTCTGAGTTCCTTATTGTAATTGCTGAGGGAAGTCATTCACTTTTAAACTTGGAAGTGAATATGAGACACTTGCTCTTAGAATTTGTGAAAGATTGGACAGCCTATTGTTTTGTTTTGTTTTTGTTGTTGTTGTTTCTTTTGAGACAGGGTCTTTCTATGTAGTTCAGACTGGCCTTGAACTCACTATGTAGCCCAGGCTGGCCTCGAACTCATTGCAGTCTTTCTGCCTTACCCTCCCAAGAGCTGTGCCACCATGCCCAGTGAGATTGGACAGTTTAAGAGAAGTGAAGCTAATTGTAGAAAATATCCTGGAACCATTTTATGCAATTTGCTGAGCAAGAGCAGGATACTGATTAGGGAATATTGCTGCAGTGGTGTTTAGTGTTTTTAAATAGAGAAAAGAATATGGTCTTTAGGGTTGTGTATCTGCAAGCAAAACACATAAAACCAAAACTTGCCATGTTAACGTAAGAAAAGGATTCATTTGACTCATCCCGGAGGTCTAAGCAAGGAGATTGTCTAGGGCTGGCACAGAGCTCATTACCATCATCAAGGATCTAGATATCTGGGCCTGGGTGTGAAGGTGAGGGGTCAAAAGAAGTGTGCCAGGTTTGAAGCTTTCCCAGAAAGCCTGGGTAGTCACTCCTTACATCTCATTGATCAGAACTGGGTCAGATGTCCTTCCTTCAGGGGAGTATGGCAAGGGGACTCTTAGCTTCCTAATTCTCATCCTAGGTGAAAATGGGAGGACAGGATTTTGAGTAGACTGTGCTGCTGTAGTAAAATTATTTTCTCTGCAGAAACAGTGATGAGACCACATGCAAATGACCACACAACAACTTGATTAGACTGACTTTTCTTTTGAACATTCGTAAGAATAGAAGAGAGAGAACGGACCTCTGTTACTCATCATTGGCCTTCAAAAATTAATCATGTATTCCCAAGGCGCTTCATGTGTACAGTACTTTCACATCAGGTGTTGTTTGCTGGTTTTACATTTATTAATGATAGCTTTATCGACGCTTTAGAATGACCAGCTGTAGGTGTGATTTTACCGACTGTCAGTACTCTTACAAAGTTGTGGAGCTATCACTACCTCAATTATAAATCGTTTCCATCACCTCAGACAAGTTCCCCTGTGGCCTCTTGCCTAGTGGCCCCCTTCCCCGTTCCCCGCCCTTGGCAGCCACCTGTTTTAGTCTATAGATTTTTCAACATTTCACATACATGGAATTATATAGTAAGTGATCTTTTATTCTTGTTTCTTTAACTTAATGTAGTGTTTCAGAGCTTCATATTATATCATGTATCAGTATTCCATTCTGTTTTTTTCTGTTTTTCGGTACTGGGAATTGAATTCAGAACCTTGTGCTTGCCAGGCAGGTGCAGCACCAGTGAGCTAAATCCCTGGCCCTGTATTCCATCCTTTTATGTTCCTGAATGGTATTCTGTTATGGTACCTCCGACCCTCAGCATGGTGGGTATATTTCATGATGTTTCACAGATGTCTGAGACCATCTGTAATAACCAAACTCTCTATATACTGTTTTTTTCCTATTTTCACATAAAATAAAGCTCAATTTATAAATTAGACAGAGATTAGCAACAATAAATATTAAAATAGGGAATGATCACAATATACTATAGTAAAAGTTATTTAAGCTGGACATGGTGGTGCATGCATGTAATTCCAGCACTATGGGAAGTTGAGACAAGAAGATTGCAAGTTTGAGCTCAGCCTGGGCAATTTAGTGAGACTCTGTCCCAAAATAAAAAGTGATAGAGGGGCTGGGTGTGTAACTCAGTTTAAAGGCCCTGGATTCAATCCCTAGGACCACCAAACATAGTAACTGATTTCCCTTTCCTCATGGCTAATGATATTTAACATGTTCTGTGCTTATTCATGTGTCTTGTTCAGTGAAAGGCCTGTTAAAATATACTATTTGGATTGCTTTATTTGTCTTGTTGAGTTGTAGGAGTTCTGAATGCATTCTGGATAAAAGCATTTTTTTGTTTTTTTTTGGTACTGGGGATCGAACTCAGGACCTTGTGCTGTGGCAGGCGGCAGCACCACTGAGCTAAATCCGCGGCCCAAAAGCATGTTTTCAGATATGTGATTTGTAATATTTTCTTCCAGTCTGTAGCCTGTCTTCATTTACTGATGGTGTCATTTGAAGCACAAAAGCGTTTGTTTTAATGACATGTAAAAATAAATTTTTTTTCTTTTTTGGATCATGTTATTGTTGTCATTTGAGTAACAATGTCATATAGATTTTCTTGTATGTTTTTTCTAGAAGTTTACATTCTAGACACGTGATCCACTTTCAGTTCATTTTTGTGTATGGGGCAAAGTATTGATCTAAATCCATCTGTGGCACACGAGTATCTCAGCACCATTTGCTGCGGACTGAGTTGTGTTGGCGCTGTTATGAATTAACTGTGAAGGGAATGGCTTCTTTCTGGCCCATTGATGTGATCTGTTAGTCCATGTGGCTGTGCTTATAACAGTACATGCTGTCTTGATTTTTGTTGTTTATAAGTTTTGAAATCAGATAGTATAAATTTGCTGAGTTCATTTTCACTTATCCAAAATTCTTGAGGCAATTTTGAGTTCTCTGAATTTCCATAAAATTTTTTTTTCTACCAGTTTGTTTATAATGAAAAAATTCTTATAGAGTTTTTAACTCTGTACTTCATTTTGGAAATTGTCATCTTGATAATGCTATGTCCTAATCTGTGAACATGAAATGACTCTCCATTTATTTAGATATCCTTTAATTTCTCTTAGTAGTGTTTTATAATTTTCAGAGTATAATTTTTGTGCTTCTTATGTTAATTTTTTTGTTAAGAATTTTAATCTTGTGATGCTAATAGTGAATAGAATTACGGTCTTTTACTTATTGTGCTTTAAAGGTTCATGCCTGTTGTAGCCTGGATTAGAACTTCATCCCTTTTTATGGCTACATAATACTCCTTTCTATGGCTATGGATATGCCGCAATTTGTCTATTTGACCATTTGTCAGTTGATGCATATTTGAGTTGCTCCTCTTCAGCTATTATGATGGTGCTGCCAAGAATATGGGCATATGGGGCCAGGGATTTAGCTCAGTGGTTCCGCCACCTGCCTCGCAAGCGCAGGGACCCGAGTTCAATCCCTGTTACCAAAAAAACAAACAAACCAAACCAACAAACAGAAAAGAATATCGGCATATGGTTCTTACAGGGACATATGTTTTCATTTCTCTTTTGGGAGTAGAATTGATATAGAAAGATTTTTAATTCTAATTCAATTTATTATTACAGGTCTGTTGTAATTTTTTCTTTGTTTTTGAATCAGCTTTGATAACTTAGCTCTTTGTAGGAATTCTCATCTAAATTGTGTACTTTATTGGTATAAAGCTGTTTATAGTTTTCTCTTATACCGTTAGATCTCGTCTTTAAAAATTGATCTTAGTTGTTTATTACTCTTAAAAAAACCTTATTTTGGACTGAACTCAAATTTAGAAGTAGAAGCTGTCAGACAATTGGATTTCTTGACCATCTGTTCCTTGGGGACAGTAGTATTTGGGGCATAGAACTATTGGGAGAGTGCAGGACGAATGATGGTAAGAGTATCATTTTAAGTATTTATAATTGCTTAAAGGTTGTAAGCTCTTCTGTCTTTAACTGTTGTCTTGTCTCAATGAAGCCACAGCATAAAATCACAACTGCTTGTCTGATGATCACATTCTCTAGTTGCCTGTAGAGAGTAGAAGAAGATAGTTTTGGAGGCCTGGACTTGCAAACCTAGATGTAGGATTACAATGACGGTCGTCAGAGGCCTACATTGATTTTTGTATCTTCAAAAAGTGTCCTTACTGAAAACACCTTAAGTTTCGTTAATTTTACCTTTGCTGTATATAAGTGGTTCTCTAACTTCAGTGGCTTCTTGGATCACCTGACGTGTTATGTGATGTTGCAGTTTATACTTTGATAAAATTCAGTGACTCCCTGATGGGTTCCATCCATTACCACTAAAATGACCTGTCCCTGAGGGTGTTTGAATAATAAGTACTCGGCAGCTGCTGGCTTTTTTCTTCTGTGTTTTCATTATGAGTGCTTTTGACAGATTTAAAATAACGCACTTATTAAAAGCCACATATTGTAATGAACACGATGATTCTTCTAGTGATTTTTAAGTAGTGGACTATTTTCAGAGTAGCTTAGGGTTAATGAAAAATGGAAAATCAGCGATTTGCTTGTCCCTCCGCCTGACTCGCACCCCACTTTCCTCTTAACGTCCCTTATCAGTGTGGTGCATTTGTTACAATCGCTGAACGAGTGTTGAGCTACTTTTTTTTCCTTAAAGCAACTGTAATCTATTTTAATAGATTAGTAATTTCTGTAATCCTTATTCTGTACTCAGTTGAGGTAACTAATATTTATTACCGATTGTTTTTCATGCTCCCAGTGACCAGGAAACACGATTGCTCTGATCTTTTATAGGGCGGGATAATCACTGATGGCTCTGAATTAATTGGCCCCCCTGAAGGTTGCTCAGACTCCCTCGCTGATGCTGTTCCTGAGTGTAGTGCGGAAGGTAAGAGGCCCACTTGCATTTCAGAGATTTGATTGCAGAAGACTATAAATCATATCTGGATTGCCAAAAAAAGAGGCGTACATAGGAATCTGAAGGTATTTCACTGATTGTAAGACAGCCCCTCCCCCAGTGTTGACATTGCTGAGTTGGGTGTGCTGATCCTGGGTTGATGAGTGGCAGCTTTCTTCTTTCTTATTGTTATGTAAAACAGTGGTTCATCCTACGGTTCATGGGATCTTAGGTTTGGTGACATGGTATAGTGAAGAGTTTAGAATTTAGAAAGATGTTCTCGTGTGCTAGGCAGCACAATTTGCTGTGCAAGAATGCCTCACTAACGTTTATTTAGCAGAATCTGACTGTTACACAATGAATTTCAAGGCTGGCTTTGAAAATTTAGTCATTTACCCAGAAAGAATAAGCCTAAGGCAGTTTTAGTGTTTTTGATATATCTTGTAATAACATGAATCTAAACAAAAGCAATTTTTGTACATTTAATCAGTTTAATTCAAGAATACTTAATCTAGTTTTATTCCTTGAATTCATGTACTTAATTTACATGAGGATTTTAATATATGCATTTTAGCCTTTGGAGTTTTATAACTAATTTTCTTTGGGGGAAAATGAAGGAATTTTAAAAGACAGAGATTGGAGGACGGGGTGGTGGGGAGAGTGTTTAAAGAGAAAATAGACTGATTCAAAGAACATGAGGTCTGATTTATTGAAGGTAAGATACTAGACTAGATGGTGTTTGTTGGTCTGTTTCATGACTGAGAGTTGGCAGTGAGGACGGATGCAGGAGAGGGCAGCAGTCCCCTTGTGGTGCTGTCTGTGGATTGACAGCCTCACTGGCACGGGCCTCACTGACAGCCTCACTGACAGCCTCACTGACACAGGCCTCACTGACACAGGCCTCACTGACAGCCTCACTGACAGCCTCACTGACACAGGCCTCACTGACAGCCTCACTGACAGCCTCACTGACAGGCCTCACTGACAGCCTCACTGACATCCTCGCTGACACAGGCCTCCCTGACAGCCTCACTGACACAGGCCTCATTGACACAGGCCTCACTGACATCTTCACTGATAGCCTCACTGACAGGCCTCACTGACAGCCTCACTGACAGGCCTCACTGACAGCCTCACTGACAGGCCTCACTGACAGCCTCACTGACAG